TGATCTTGGGGTCCTGGGATCGAGCCCCACATCAGGCTCCCTGCTCAGTGGGGAGCTTGCTTCTCCCTCTCCCTCTGCTCCTCCCCCCACTTGTTCTCTCTCTCTCTCAAATAAATAAATTATCTTTAAATATATATATATATAATTATAATAATAAATAAAAACACATTTTTAAAAAGAAAAGAAAGAGAAGGGCGCCTGGGTGGCTCAGTTGGTTAAGTGACTGCCTTCGGCTCAGGTCATGACCCCGGGGTCCTGGGATCGAGCCCCGCATCGGGCTCCCTGCTTGGCAGGAAGCCTGCTTCTCCCTCTCCCACTCCCCGTGCTTGTGTTCCCTCTCTCACTCTCTCTCGCTCTCTGTCAATTAAATAAATAAATAAAATCTTTAAAAAAAAAAAAAAAAGAAAGAAAGAAAGAAAAATGAGGAATCTGGGACCCAGAGAGGGGCTGTGCTGGGGTCTGGACAGCAAGAGGGGGCTGGGCTATGGATGGGACAGAGGAGCCAGAAATAAGTCCAGAGAGGCTTTTTGGATGCCGTGAGCCCCATCGGCTGGCAGATACAGGGTGCCCGGGGAAGGACAAGTTAAATGATTGCTGATGATCACACCGCTAGAAAGAGACAGTTTTGAGGGAGGACACACAAAAAACTCACTAATCAAGATAAGTCATATTGTAATGTAACATTTTAAAAAATCAACTAGCCAAAAAAAAAAAAAAAATCGAACAGCAAACTAGACAGCCCACAGGCGGGCCGTCTGTTTTTGAAAATAAAGTTTCATTGGAACCAGGGCCAGGATCAGGGTGAGTCATGGGTGATAGGATTGTTTGTGCAAGTGCAGAGTTGGACCCTGCCTTTGTTTAAAATTTTGTTCATGATGGATGGTTGTGCATCAATTTCCTTTTTTATTGTTATGTTAATCACCATACATTACATCATTAGTTTTTGATGTAGTGTTCCATGATTCATTGTTTGTGCATAACACCCTGCGCTCCACGCAGAACGTGCCCTCTTTAATACCCATCATCAGGCTAACCCATCCCCCCACCCCCTCCCCTTTTTTTTCTTTAAGTAATCTCTGCACCTAACGTGGGGCTCGAACTCATGACCCCAAGATCAAGAGTCACGTGTCCTTCGACTGAGCCAGCCAGGCGCCCCATCAATTTCCGCTTTTTAAATATTGCATTAAAACACCCATTTTCTTGAACCCTGAGTTTGGGGGCACCTCCAATTTTACACCCAAGGCAAAACTGCCTCCCTCACCCCCCAACCCCCCCGCCCAGGCCTAGTCTGGCTGTGGTGTGGGACCAGATCCCACAGTGGAGACCTTGGCCCAGCGTTGATGGCTGCACCACGCCCAGGCGGACAGGACGCCCCAGCAGCTGCCGAGGGTGCGGCCTCTGAGGTCAGCAAGCTCATCTTGTCCGTCTCTGACTCAGTCTTTTCCCATCTTGGCCCAGGGAATCACTGGGGGCTACAGAGCTGCCCCAAAGCACCAGAGGTTGAGGGGTTGGGAAAGGGAGCCAGCACCCGAGCGAGGAGCCGGGAGACTTTGGGGGTACACCATGCCTTCTTCCCCGCCTTTTCTCTGGGCCTCAGTTGCTCTGTCTGTGCAATGGGCACCAAACGGCACTGAGCTCAGATCAGAGGGACGGGAGTTGTGCAGGGCACCCCTGTCACGGGTGGCGGCACCCACCCGTGTCTCCCCAGGGAAAGCCCCAGCGGGCCCAGTCCGATGCCAGCCTCCAGCCCAGCACCTGACTTTGGCTATGGGAAGAGAATGCAACAAAACTCAGTAAGCAAGACAAATAATATTATAGCATGATATTTTTAAAATTCAAATTGGCGGGGTGCTGGGCTGGCTTAGTCAGAAGAGCACGCAACTCTTGATCTCGGGGTCATGAGTTCAAGCCCCACGTTGGGTGTAGAGATTACTAAAAAAATAAATAAAAATAAACAAATACAATTAAAGAAATAAAATTCAAATTGGCCAACTATGGCCTCCAGGCCAGCCATCAGTTTTTATAAATAAAGTTTCTTTGGAATAAACTGCTTGTGCTCGGATCTTGGTTCCTACCTTACCTGGGTGATCTTGTGCCAATTCTCTTGCTCTTCTCAACCTCAGTTTTTCACCTGTGAAATGGAGAGAAGAGCGAATGGGTTTCCCTGTTAAGATTAAATGCAGTAGGTGCGCATGAGCACTTTGAGCAGCGACTGTCACTCAGGGAGCCCTGAATAACAATGATCATTACCATTAGTAGTTGCTATTGTCATAGTATTCGAAATTTCTTTTAAGTATTTATTTAAGTAATCTCTACACCCAACGTGGCCCTTGAACCCATGACCCCAAGATCAAGAGTCACATGCTCCACCAACTGAGCGAGCCAGGTGCCCCAAGAAATTTTTAATCAAAGGAGCAGACACTTGGGGTACCTGCGTGGCTCGCTCAGTTAAGCATCCGACTCTTGATTTCAGCTCAGGTCATGATCTCAGGGTCCTGGGATCGAGCCCCGCATCGGGCTCTGCCCTCAGCAGGGGGTCTCCTTGGGATTCTCTCTCCCTCCCTCTCCCTCTGCCCCTTCTCCCCCTCCTCCCCCCTCTCTCTCTCTGTCTCAAATAAATAAATCTTAAAAAAAAAAAAAAAAGAGGGGCGCCTGGGTGGCTCAGTCAGTTAAGCGTCTGCCTTCAGCTCAGGTCGTGATCCCAGGATATTGGGATCAAGTCCCACATCAGGCTCCCTGCTCAGCAGGGAGTCTGCTTCTCCCTCTGCCTACTGATCCCCCTGCTTGTGCTCTCTCTCTTGCTCTCTCTCTGGCAAATAAATAAATAAAATCTTAAAAAGAAAAAAGAAAAAGGAGCAGACCGTTGTAGGAGGGAGCCCTCCCTGGTACACATGCTAAGAATCAACGGGAACCTAGTGCTCACCATGTGGTGCCAGGCCTGTCCCAGGCACTCTATATCCATGGACCCATTTAGGCCTCACAACAATTCCTTGATTTATTCGCCAGGGACCGGTGTCATTCCCGTTTTTCAGCTGAGGAAACCAAGGCACATGGCAATTACACCACCAGCAGGGACCACATAGCCAGTAAATGGTACAGCCTGGATTCAGATGGAGCCAGTCTGGCTCAGGCTATCCAGGTCCTTCCACCGCGATGTTCCCTGTCCCCCTGAGGAGCAAACCGCCCGAGACACACAGGCATGCGCTGACAGCCATGGTCCTTCACTGTCACACTCCAGACTGCCATCCTAAGAGTCCCTCTCACCCACCGACACCATGACGGGCAGAGACGACCTCAGCCACACACCCTCGGTCACACGCTGTCACAGGCACGCACCCCGAGGCCCCCTGTCATGCATCGACCTCCTCACAGGCACACAGCACACTGGTCTCTCTGTCAGAGACCGGGTCCTGAGGAACACCAGAGCCTGGTGGGCCCTTGCCCAATGTCTCTCCCTTGGAATTTTTCCAGTGATGCAGCCCCTGAAGCCCATAGCAGCAGGTGGGAGGAGACCCCAACTCTTCCAGGGACAGATGGATGCCTGAGGCCCAGAAGAGGGGGGACCAGCTGAAAGGTACAACGGCAAAGCCGTGGCTGAGCAGTGGGGGTCTCCTGCCCAGCCCATAGGTAGCTAAGAGACCCGGCTTTTCCCTTTACCCACCTTGAGCACCTAGGGCTGGACTCCAGTTTGGAGAAAAATGTGGGGGAATCTTCCCTTTCCCCATGCTGCCTCCCATGCAGCTTGGACCCAGGAACAGGGTGGGGAGACAGAAGGGGGCCCTCACACCTTATCTGGGGCCAGACCCCCGCTGCCTGCTTTCACTCCAGAATTGTTTTTCTTTTTTAAGATTTTATTTATTTATTTGTCAGAGAGGGAAAGTGAGCACGAGTAGGGGGAGTGGCAGGCAGAGGGAGAAGCAGGTTCCCCACTGAGCAGGGAGCCCAATGCTGGACTCCATCCCAGGACCCTGGGATCATGACCTGAGCTGAAGGCAGACGCTCAACTGACTGAGCCACCCAGGCATCAATCACGCCAGACTTTCTACCACCAGGCAAGCATTCAGGCCCAGAGCAACTTACCCTGCTGCCCTCCTAGAGGGTCTGATGCAGCTCCAAACACTGCCCACCCCCTCTCTGATTCTTTCTCTCTCTTTCTGTCTTTCTCTCTGTGTTACACTCAAACACACATACACATGCACCTGCACTCATGCATACTGCCACGGGGAAACAAGCAGACACACCAACATACACCTCCCCCTTGTCTTCTCTAGAGCCCTCCCCAGGCCTTCCCATCTGTCCTTATTTGTTGGAAGAATTCTGCTCCACATGCTCCAAGTAAAAAGAGAGATGTGGGTTCTGATCATACTCACCTCCTCTGTCGCCGGGTCTTGTGGCTGCTTGGAGCCACGGCTGCCTCGGGGAAATGGGGAGCATAAGAGACCTTTCTCCTAGAGATGTACGACAGTTAAATTAGATAATTCAATTAAGTGCTTAGTGCTGTGTCTGGCATGTAGTAACTACCTAGTAAATGAGAACTTTAATAAAATTGAGTGAAGTGCTTTGAAAATTTGGCAGTACTGTATACAAAGCGAGTCTCCCGACTCCTGCCACATGAGTTAAGCAAGACAAGAATTCGTAGCAATTTCCCAATGAGAAAATTGAGGCTCAGAGTCTGAATGGTGAAGCTGGAAGGAGGACTCCATCTCTGGATTCCAAACCCCCTCCTCCCCGGTTCTGCTGGCACATCCAGTCACGGCGGGGAGAGTGCCTTATAGATGACTGTGTGTGGCCACGGGTGAGAAGGGGTGGCGTCTGGCCTAAAGCCCTGAGAAGGCAGAGGCTGTGTCCCCAGCACTTTGCACCCCAAGCTATCAGAGACGACCAGCGGCCCAGCCAAAGCCCATGTCCTCTCTTTTCAGGTGATGACCCCCCCGTGAGGAAGCCCTGTAGTGCGACTAGAGGAAGGGGCTGCCCCCGCTGGCCCCCCCAACCCCGCCACCATGAATACCTCGGCCCCACCCGCTGTCAGCCCCAACATCACCGTCCTGGCCCCGGGAAAGGGGCCCTGGCAAGTGGCCTTCATTGGGATCACCACAGGCCTCCTGTCCCTGGCCACGGTGACAGGCAACCTGCTGGTACTCATCTCCTTCAAGGTCAACACTGAGCTCAAGACAGTCAACAACTACTTCCTGCTCAGCCTGGCCTGTGCTGACCTCATCATCGGTACCTTCTCCATGAACCTCTACACCACGTATCTGCTCATGGGCCACTGGGCTCTGGGCACACTGGCCTGCGACCTCTGGCTGGCGCTGGACTACGTCGCGAGCAACGCCTCCGTCATGAACCTGCTGCTCATCAGTTTCGACCGCTACTTCTCCGTGACCCGGCCCCTGAGCTATCGAGCCAAGCGCACACCCCGCCGGGCGGCGCTGATGATCGGCCTGGCCTGGCTGGTCTCCTTCATCCTGTGGGCCCCGGCCATCCTTTTCTGGCAGTACCTGGTAGGGGAGCGGACGGTCCTGGCCGGCCAGTGCTACATCCAGTTCCTGTCCCAGCCCATCATCACCTTCGGCACGGCCATGGCCGCCTTCTACCTCCCCGTCACGGTCATGTGCACGCTCTACTGGCGCATCTACCGGGAGACGGAGAACCGGGCCCGGGAGCTGGCGGCCCTGCAGGGCTCCGAGACACCCGGTAAGGGGGGTGGCAGCAGCAGCAGCTCCGAGCGGTCCCAGCGGGGGACTGAGGGCTCCCCAGAGACCCCTCCGGGCCGCTGCTGCCGCTGCTGCCGGGCACCCAGGCTGCTGCAGGCCTACAGCTGGAAGGAAGACGAAGAAGAGGACGAAGGCTCCATGGAGTCCCTCACGTCCTCGGAGGGTGAGGAGCCTGGCTCTGAGGTGGTGATCAAGATGCCCATGGTGGACCCCGAGGCGCAGGCCCCCGCCAAGCAGCCCCCCCGGAGCTCCCCCAACACGGTCAAGAGGCCAACCCGGAAAGGGCGTGAGCGAGCGGGCAAGGGCCAGAAGCCCCGAGGGAAGGATCAGCTGGCCAAGCGGAAGACCTTCTCGCTGGTCAAGGAGAAGAAGGCGGCGCGGACCCTGAGTGCCATTCTGCTGGCCTTCATCCTCACCTGGACACCATACAACATCATGGTGCTGGTGTCCACTTTCTGCAAGAACTGTGTCCCCGAGACCCTGTGGGAGCTGGGCTACTGGCTGTGCTACGTCAACAGCACCATCAACCCCATGTGCTACGCGCTCTGCAACAAAGCCTTCCGGGACACCTTCCGCCTGTTACTGCTTTGCCGCTGGGACAAGCGTCGCTGGCGCAAGATCCCCAAGCGCCCCGGCTCTGTGCACCGCACCCCCTCCCGCCAATGCTGATGGCCACTCACCTGCATCCCGCCGCCCCAGTCCCCGGGAGGGCCGGGTAGGACGCGGGCAGGGACTGTGACCTCAGGCCCAGGGCCCTGCTCTGTCCTCACCAGGCTTCGGGGGTGGGGGGAACCCCCTAGGTCACCTTCCTGGACAGCCAAACTTTGCTCTTCCCAGGCAGGGAACGAACCCAACCCGGGGAACTGGTTTTTCTGTTCCCTGCTGGGTGGGAATGGGCTCTTCACCAGGAAGAAGGCCCGGGGTGGAGGATTCAAGCTCTGGATCCCTTGTTTGCCTTCAGGCAGGAATCTGTGGGGAGCCAGCAGCAGGACCGGGCCAGGAGAAAGACGGTTCACGTTTCAGTCATCCCTGGCCCAGGGGCTGGCCCCGGATCGCTTGGCTCCAAAGGAGCACCCCCTGACTGGGCATCCCCTCCCTCCGCAGGCACAGCCCCCCCCCCCGCCACTCCCGGGCTGTAGACGCACTCTCCAGGGTTGTCCAGCCTCCCTACAAATGTCCCCAGAGTATCCCCAAGGCAGATGTCCAGGCATCAGCAGGACAATGCCACCAGAAGAGACCAGCTCAGCCAGTCACACACCAAGTCCCCAAGGCAGCAGCAGGACCAGGCGCCAGGCATTCTGACTATCCCACTATGTAGTTTCCCTGGGAATGAGGGGCAGGGGTGCCTGCTATCCGGCCCCACACCTATACCCTCTGCCCCAGAGAAGCCCTCAGTCCCTCCCTCCCTCCCTGGCTCACCCACCACCACCTGGATAGATCTGCTCTGTGCAGGCCTAGCCAGACCTCCCGCATGCTGCCTGCCTCCAGCCTGCCCCACACAGGCCTGGCCCAGCCGACGGGTCCGCTCCTGTGAGCTCCCCGTCCAACCCATGCATGGCCTCCCAGCCGCCCTTATGTCCAGGCCCAGCCTGGCCCCAAATGTTCTTTCCTTCTATCCTCAGCAAGTGCTGAGTCTGTGAATAAAACCACATGACTAGCGGGGGCTCTGGGATCTTCTTTCCCTGTGTTGGATCCCAGGCCTGGTCTGAGGCCAGGGCAGAATGGGACGGGGGGGCTCAAGTACTGTGGAACGTGGGCCACTTCCCCGGGACTGGTCCCAGGAGGGGCAGCACTGAGTGGCTGGATCTCCTGAAACCTGTGGGGCCCCAGCACTCCAGGGTCCCCGGCTCAGGTGAGTAGGGCTCTCGTGGGCAGGAGGGAAGCCAGGTGAAATGAATTGCCCGTGCCCATAGCCCAGCATATTCTCTATCAGCTTTGTCATATATGGCTGCTCTGGGGCCCTGTTAGACCTGGGGAGAGCAGAATTGCTCCAAGCCTCCGTTTACAGATGGGGAGACTAAGGCCCAATGACCCAGGAGGACTATTCAGGGTTACCCTACAAAGCAACACCCAGGCTTCCAGGCAATTCACAACCTCCTGACCCCTGGACTGTGGAGAGGGGACACCTGGGGGCCAGGCCAGAGCACTCCATAAAGGGGACCCTCAGGCCAGGTTCTAAGGCATCTCATTGGTGAGGGGGCCCTAAAGCCTAAAGCAAAGAAATCTTAGCGAGGTTAGTCCCACAGCATAGAGTAGTGGTTCTCAAAGTGTGGTTTTCATGGGGGGTCCTCAAGACTACACTCAGATTCAATGATTCGCTGGAGAGACACACAGAACTCAGAAAAGCTGTTACACTCACGGTTAAAATTTATTACAGTAAAAGGATATGAATTAAAATCAGCAAAGGAGGGGTGCCTGGGTGGCTCAGTTGGTTAAGCATCCAACTCTTGATTCCCACTCAGGTCTTGATCTCAGGGTTGCTGGATGGAGCTCTGTGTCAGGCTCTACACTGGGCGTGAAGCCTCCTTAGGATTCTCTCTCTGTCACTCCCCTCTAGCCCCCGTGCTCTCTCTTCCCCTCTCTAGGAAAAAAAAAAAAAAAATCAGCAAAGGCTAATGGCACATAGGGCAGAGTCCAGGAGAGACCAGGTGCAAGCTTCCAGTATCCTCTCCCAGTGGAGTCATGGGGACAGCACTTAATTCTTCCATGTGTGACAACATGCACAAAGAATTGCCAACCACAAAGCTGACCTGAGCCTTGGTGTCCAATGTTTCTACTGGAAATTGCTCACGTAAGCCTGGCTGACCCACTTGGCTGGCCTTAGCTACTCAGTCTCCAGCCCCTCCAGAGGCTAATCTGATACCACAAGGCCCACGGCCCCCAGGTAAGCAAAGACACTCTTATCAGGCAGGGTATTCCAAGGGCTTAGGGGTGATCTCCCAGGAGCCGGGCAAGGACCAAACCTTTCTCTGGAATGGGCCAGGTTTGGACCACCCAGACCTCCTGAGTTAATCCTTGAAGGCACCGCCGTCCTGACCAGGAGCATTTAGCATCACCCAGGAACTTGTTAGATCTCTAAGTTCTCAGGGTCACCCCAGATGTACTGAACCAGAAACTCTAGGCATCGAGCCCAGCCTGTGCTTCAACAAGGCCTCTGGGTGTGCTGATGCGGGCTAAAGTTTGAGAAACGCTGACCGGAGGAGTGAGGTCCTGGGGGGGGGGGGGCTGAACTTTTACAGAGAGGGCATGGAAGGTCAGGACATAACAGTCAGGACTCCTGGAAGCCTTCGAAAGGGAAGCTTCCCACACTGTCAGCTCTAGGCTCTAGGAGCGCCTCTTCCTCACCACTGCTCCCTCACAGCCCTGAGCCCCTTTAGGGTTCAATGCCCCGCCCTGTGGCAAAGGCACTAGAACAGAAGTCTTGGTGGCAGAGAGCCCGAGTCCGAGGAAGCCGAGCAGCGTTGGGATGAGCAGGAGCGCTGGAATCAGATTGGCCTGAGCTCCACCGGAGGCCGAGAGAGGGAGGTCAGGGCTGGTGTTTGCATCAGGAACGGGGTTAGCGGTTCACACTTGTCCCTTGTCGCAGGCGCGGGTCCTACCTGCCCGTGGCCCCTCACCACTCAACCCTAGGCAAGTCTTATTTTCAGGATCCTCAAGGGGAATGAGTTCCTGGCAGAAGACGGAAGAGGGCGGGACAGATTAGAAAGAAAGCACCTCCGTGGCTCTGCGACCAGTGTTAACCACAGGACGAGGCTGTTCCAGACCCACACCTTTCCCTACACCTCCAGCGGTGGCTTTACAGAGTCCAGAGGCCCATCCCCCACCCCTCCCCGGGGCGAGGGGGGGGGGGGGGGGGAAGAAACGGGGCTTGCAGAAAGGAGGATGGGGGCAAGCCTGGGTGGGGGAGGGTGTGCACCCCATGAAGCCAGCATCCCAGAAATGGGGCCTGTGCCCTGCAAGGCTCTGAAGCAAGAGTCCTTCAAACCCAGCTGCCAGAAGGTGGAGGAAATGGTCTGAGGCTGACAGGACAGGGTGGCTGGATATGGCATCAGTCCACCCCAAACACCGCCCCCCCCCCCCCCCCGCCCCCCGCCCTGAGGGAGTCCTTCTTGGCTCCAGAAACAAGGGCTGTTTCGAACGTGAACAGGAAGTGGGGAAAGAATGAGGTGGCTTTGTGAACGCCACCTCCTCCCCCTACCAAGTCGGAGCAGGCCCAGAGAAGGGGCACCGGGTAGGACTCTGCAGTGCGGGCTGCCCGCTCCCCGCCACCCCGCCGTTCCCACCGTATCACTTGAGCGCCATCTGCGGGCAGCTAGGGGAATTGCCCTGCCGAGAATCGTGGCGCTTAGAACCTGCCTGGACTGCTTCCCAGAGAACAGGACCCCAGGACAAAATGTAGAGTAGATGGTCTTGGCCACCTCAGCAACTGCCCTCCCCCCCCCTCCACATCTCAGGAGGAACCCGAGGCCCCGGAAGGACCAGTTCACTTGGCTACTAGGCTAAACCCGCCGAGGCAGGCCCGACCTCTCTCCTATATGCCCGTTTCACCAGACATGTAGGAGATGGATGGGGGAGTGGGGGAGACTTGGCATCCAGGGACAGCCCCCCGCGTTCTCCCAGGGCCTCCCCCAGGCTTTTGGAATCCTGTCTCATTTCTTGGAGCCTGGCTCTGATTGTACAGAACAGTTGCTGATCCAACTGGACACTCACCTTTGCAACACAAAAGCCTTTGGAATGCCAGGTGTCCCACACCAGCCTCAAGCTCCAAAGACTTTGAGGTGATGTCTTTGTTCTTAGCATCTTTGTAACATACACAAACTGCGTAAGTCCAGGAATCAGACTACCACACAAAATAGGCCTGAAAATCACCATCACTCCCCCACCCCCGTCCCTGTACCTCCTCCACCCCCCAGTTCTACTCCCCCTCCTGGTGTTCCTGGCCTGGCTAGCACCGCCATCCACGCAGTGCTCAATCCAGAAATCTGTGAGTCATCTTGGACTCCTTCTTTTCACTCGCTGTACCAGTTGGTCAGTCCACCTCCCGAACAGTTCCTAAATTTGTCCAGCGCTCTCCATCTGCCCCGTCACCATCCTAGTGCAAGAGGGCCTGAAATGCTGAAATTATCCCTTAATTCAGGCGTTAACAAACCTTTTCTATAAAGGGCCAGATAGTAAATATTTTAGGCTCTGTGGATCAAGAGGCAAAATTAAGGATATTATGTAGGTACTTCTGTATTATAGTCTCTGTCACAACTATTCAGTTCTGCCATAAACAACACATAAGTGAAAGAACATGTCTGTGTTCCAATAAAACTTTATTTAAATTCCACTGAGCTTTGAATTGCATATAATGTTCATTTGTCACAAAGCGTTATTCTTCTTTTGATTTTTTTTTTCTGGCCATTTAAAAATGCAAAACCCATTCTTAACTTACAATGGGTACAAAAACAGGCCGACCAGCTGTGGTTTGCCAACCCCTGACTTAATTGATCCCATTCCCATTCATTCTCCATGCTTCAGCCAAAGGGATTTTGCCAAAACTTAGATCCGATGCTGCCAGTCGTTTGCTAACAACTAGCCAATAGCTTGAGATAAAAATGCAAGCCCCTCAGCCTACAACAGCCTTCCATCCAGGCTTTTCTGTGACCCCTCAGTCCGTTGACCTTAGA